CCACATCTAGCTGGGCGTCGGTCCACACAGTCAAAATAAACACCAAGTCAAAAGCCCCCCAGAACTTGCGCTGATATGGCACTTGTTAATGGTGCCAGCATGTCTCAGTCCTGAGATGTGGCTTCACAATAACCAGCAGTGGAGACAAAAACAAAACATTCTGCTTATCACCTGTTGAATCAGTGAGAATCTGCATCACAAAGCACTGCAGCATCATTGCATTCTGGGAAATAGCAAAGGCGAGTTTACGTAAATGGTGTTTGATGGTTTTAATAAGTATTTCCATTATAGTAAGGAGAGGGGGAAAGAGCTCAGTGGGAATACATGCAAGTCTGTGGGAGCCATAAGAACTTGTGCTCATCACTGCTGAAAACAAAATGAAAGCATTTTATTGTGCCTCCACAACAATCGCAAACTCTCTTTCTCTAAGTGTCTAAGTAGCTCCAAGCTGCACCACAGACGTACAGCTGCATGGCGAGGGCCCATGTTTTATTAATTTGCAGATGAGCTCAGCTTTTGAAGGCGTTGGCCACCCATGGGTTCAATTAGGATAATACAGGGAGAGGGGCAGATTATGGGCCGCTATTTAAGCGAGGCTACAGTATATCTCTTCCTGACAGTTATAATCCAAATGCGACAAATTGCACCGTAGTGGCTGTAAGCGGCGCCATATCAGTCCTGTGGTGATGAAGCATGGCAGTGTGGCAGGTCAGGCTGCGTGGAGATAACACCGGGCTGTACGAGCCGTCCTTGCTTCGCCAACAACACAAGGTTCAACGTTTTCCCATTCAGTAATAGAGGCCATTTAGAAAAGAGCGGTCTATATGGTGGAGCGCTGAGTGCATGCTCTGTCCAGTCAACCCCAAACAGTCCCACTTAGCACGACTCTTCAAACTATCGCACTTCTCCTCTGTTGCACGGGTCTGGGTTGAAAGCCTGTAAGTGTGAACGGCTCAACGGAGCAAAACTGAATCTTGTAAACATCCCAGTTTTACAAATACAAGACAATGTGAATATTCTAACATGAATCCAAGAGACGTGGCAATCAAAACTGCCCTCGTCAATTTTCTAGGTTGGAGTTTTGACTGTAATTTGGCTCTAATGTGAATCCTTCAATGCATTGTGTGAAACTGAATGGAGACAACATAAAACAGAACTTGAAACCGTGACCTATGCATGCAGGGCCTGTTGGCTATCAGACTGCTCAGGTTAGTCCATTTAAAGGATTTTCACTTCACGCAGCTCAACAGAAAGTGGCTGCACTCTCCCAGCTGCAGCATGTTGAGGCTAAAACAGCAGAGATAACCTTTAGTCGACATCTTCAGACCATAACAACATGGTCAGGGACCAGCAAGCGCTGGGAGAAACAACATACTGCATATAGAAGATTTTTATTCTTCTCTTTTTTTAAGGTTTTAGTCGTTTTATATGAGAGGTGTGCTGAACAATAATTAAAAAAAACTGGCTTCGTCTTATGTCAAATAATTTTGGCATGAGTGCCATAACACTGCATGAAATACAGGATTTAAAATAAACATCCTCTTATCAATAAATTTTGATTCCTGACTTGTGAAAAATGTAATCATCGTGACCCCATGGCCACTTCTTGTATCTCTATTCTAACCAGACCAGGGTAAAAGGCCATTTCTAATGTTCTTGGTTAATTCTCACAGAGCAGGCAAGCTTTGTTGTTCAATATCAGGTTGGAAAAACAGATGTTTGTGTGGCTGCAAACTTAATACCAGCCTAAAGCCAAGCAATAACTGTCCAAACACCTTTCTGCAAAAAAAAAAAAAGAAAAGAAAAAAAAAGAGACAAATATGGCTATTTAGGTCCGTTGTAGGTCATTTTACCTGTTATTATTATGCATATTTTGATATGCCAAACTAGTTTTCATGAAGAACTGCATTACAAACAGTGCAACTTTGAAAATAATCGGAAGCAAATCAGATGAGTCAAATGAGATTTTGTAGTCTGGAAGCTGAAGGTGACGTCCTGTGAAACACACAAACATTTCTGCTTGTGTGTTAACACGATTCCACCTTTGGAGAGACTGAAAAGAAAAAAGACCACGGGATATATATATATATATAATATATATATATATATAATATATATATATATATATATATATATATATATATATATATATATATATGCAAATGTCAACCCAAGAACAAGGGCAGTGCATTTAACTTTCTTGCCTTTTCCCTCAGTTGATGTGAGCCATCTATCATCACCCAGCTTCACATCTGTATGCGACCCATGTGGATGTGTTTGTGTGTGTGGAAATAGATTCAAGTTCTTTGTTCATAGCACGCACTAAGCTTTTGATCCTGTGTAAAAGTCCCCAGCATTTGAGTTTTTAGACAGGCAGACTGTTGTGTGTACACTCGAGGGTGTGCTGCCCTCTACTGCCCTTGCAATGAACATCTGCAACTAAAAATGAACGAGTCAAACTGACATCTGCTGGGCAATGCACTCAAATGAGCAACGTGCAGGAAAAACTCATGACAGGTAACAATTATTTAGCGTGCCAAATGCATTTTGTTTGTCATTTCTAGGCCTCCAAGCTTCTTGATGTAAAAGACAATATATAAACTTACAAAAACTTGCCTAGTTTACACGCTCTATTGTGTATGACATACACCAATACAAAAAGCCATGTTTTATTTTAGAGTGATTTAATTTCCTCACTTATTTGTAATCTCAAATTTAGCAAAAGTTGTGTATTAGTGTTGAAGCCAGAAAGGTAACCGTGGTTACATGAAGCGCTTCAGTAATCTGTTGGTGTGTTTGTGATGAGAACACACAGAGGGCTAATTAAAGGAACCTTTTGCTGCTCCTCCTTCAGACCAGGTCGTGTCTCATTAAAGATGGTCTCGGAGCAGAGAGGGAGTCCTTCATTACTGGATGTTTGTGCAGAGGGAAACAGGTCAAACACAAAGAATGCCATTCATGTCAACATGGCAGGTAGAACCAGGAGCTGTGTATCAGTTCCATTTCAAAGCCTTCTCACGTTAGATTTGAAGTAAATTAGGTTGTGGTCGGGCTTGAAGATCAAGTCTTAAGGTTTCTCGTGTATTAAAATAGTGAGAGAAAAGAAAATGAGCCGTTCTGTAAAATCAAAATTTATTTTTGAAATAAAAGGGTATCCACTTGGGGGGGGGGGGGGGATCTGTCAGATGAATAGTTTACAATTCTAAATACAAAAAATATACAATTAAAAAAATAAATATACACCACTTCTCCGAAATGATTGAAGTTTTGACACATTGGTTTAAAAACAAAAAAACAAAAAACTATTTTCCAGAAGAGGCTAAGCAGATACCAATCTTGCTTTAAAGGCTTTGTGCGGCCTTACATCAAGATGAGCTCTGGACACCTATGCAGGTGAGTGCACAGACAAGTCCCATCAGCAGTAAAACTACATGTAGTGACTAGTCTGAGGACTGCCTCCCCTTCTGTATGCATCCACGCTGCAGTAGTCCCACATCCAAAATAAAGAGAAAAACATTAACTAGGGGACTTTGTAGAGGGAAAAGTGGGGTTCTACACATCAAAAAGCCTTTCCTTTGGCTGCATCTTTACTTTTTTATCAAATCTAGTCTATGATATGAGATCCTGGCCAATCAGACTGTTACTACTGGCAGTTCTACAAATGAAGATATGCATTCATGTCTTCACTTTTGAAGGCAGTATTCACTAAAACAAAAAAAGTTCCAACACTATCCCACACTGAAAAACATCACAACGAAAGAAAAACATTTACAGAAAGTCTGAAAATGTATTAAAGCATGTATCAATATTGTCAAAGCACACCGTACAATCATACGCCTTTGCACTTCTGCTAGGGAGGAAGAGCAGCAGGAAGACGGTTTTCTTCATACCCCAATTTTTTTAAGATGTTGATATTCACCCCTTAATCAAAGTCAAATCACTCGTGTGTAAATTAGTACGTTTTCTTTCCTCATCAAGGGTGATGTTAACAGGCCTGTGTTTTTATTCCTCTTGAAAAGACCATTTATGCTCAATATAATGGACACAAATGAGATTTAATGGTGTTAACTGATGGCTGTCACAAGTCACAACTCATCACTTCACATAATGCAGCTGGCAATAGTTTCAAACTATGAAAGCATATTTGAGGCAAACTACAATATGAGAAAATGGTGAATTGATAGTGATCGTAACTTTACATCATTCTGACAACCAACTTATTTTGTTTAAGAGTAAAAAAAAAAAAAAAAGCCAATGAAAAAGAAATCAAAGCAACAAAAAAAAACATCCAATGTGTGTTCGAGTGCGTTTAATTTTTTTATCGTCTGCAGAAACTAAATGCCAATTTAAATGGATCATTTGTATTACAGTAACTGTAAATACTCAACGAGTAGCTTTACTGAAAAGAGTACTTGTAAAAGTTAAATAGCAAATGAGCATTCTGGAGAAATGTGAAATCCTATTAGTCTAAAATCATACTTTACACTCCATGGCCTTACTTCTCTGCGTTTAACTATGTATTGAGAGGATTTATAAATAATCTTACCTACCGGTAAGTAAAGAAAAACATCAGCTATCATTTATTTGCCAAGTGTATTCCTGTTGGTTTTATCACCTCTTGCAAATAACTTTTTGCCTAAATATGACAACAAATGTGCATTACAAAACAAGTTCCTATCCTCCCTGAGATTGGTCTCTGGTACTTAAAAACATCTGATTGAGCATTATGCAGCCCAAGTAAGACGAAGCAAATCCCACTGGCTGGCCTCAAACTGTGTTTAATGCCACTTCAGCAGCTCTTTTGTTGTCAAACATTTAAGACATTCATACACAATAAGGCTTTTCGAGCAAGAAGGAAATCAGACTGCTCAGGGAAAGTGGATTGTAGATTTTTTAGTTGATCAGTTATTATTGCTCAATTGAAAATCACTGATTTATTTCAAAAAGATGAACTGCTCAGATACCCAACCATTTGCTGGCCTCTACCCACAGGAAATGTAAAGTACCAGAAGATGGGTGCTGAAGCACTGAAAGAAATGATGTGCATGTAATCAGGTGACAAGCTTCAGGACATTAGTCCCTTGGTGGCTGACGAAGCAGCATCGCTTCATCTCGTGTCTCTGAGCTGACCTCGGCTCTGCAGACTTTGGAAGTGGGCCTCCTTGAGGATGCAGTTGATCTGCAAGTATGACACCGGGTTTGTTGGACCTGCCAACTCTGAGGAGTTGCTGGAGCCGAGAGGACTGCAGGGCCCCACAGCATAGTGGCTCCCAGCTGCATGTTCTGGACTGCTGATGTTGCTGCTGCTCTCACTGTTGGATGACTGTTGGTGAAATGGTGCCAACAAAATAATGAGCAACGTGGCTAGGTTATTGTTTCATGTTTTGATGAAACACTTTTTACTTCTAAAGTACCATATTTGTTTACTTTCACATATATTCCATCACAGTGTATTTGACTATTACAACTATTTATGTAAAAATAAAAAGTCTATCCAGAGGACCAGACTTAACCTTGTTAGAACTATTGTATCTAATTACCTTGTGTGTGGTCACACTTAGATTTGATTGCATCAAACAGTCAAAGCTACAAAAATTTAGTCTTTTGTTGAGTAGGCAACCGCCTGGAATAGATTGAAAATCATTTAGAGTACATTTATTTTTTGGGGTTTTTACTTCCTCCGAGTTGATATGTTCGGATTGGACGAACTAAATTGTCAATGACACCTGATCAACTCTTCAAAATGCACCCCACAACAGGATGTTCTCCTAATCTTACTCTGTGACAGTCTTACATCATGACCTTATGTTTTATGGTTTATGCTAATTGAAAGGACAAGATAAATATGAAGTGTTGACATTTATTGTTTCTACCTCAGAGTCCCAAGCATCCCGGCCTGACTCAGGGGAGAGAGGATGTGCTCGGTTCTGCCTTTTGGCTTGGGCTTTCAGGTGGCCACTCTCCTCCTCACCACCACTGTGCTGTCGTTTCCTGCAGAGAGAAAAGTAGATATATAGTACTCGGGTATATTTACAGGGCAACAGAAAGCAGTACAGTATTCTGAACACTTAAAAACGTACATAACACCAAAGATCAAAATACTTATTAAATCAAAATTTTATTCAATATGCAATGTATGATTTATCACAGTGTACTGTATACATAATGTTGCAAAAGGTAATTTTTGGGTGAACTGACAGAAAATGGCAAAGATTAAACATTTCAGAACGCTACAATTTTTTTTTTCCAATCAAGCTGGTGAGCTGGTTTTCAAACTATAAACATACAACCAAAATGGCAAAAAAATATAAAATGGTCTGATTCGTACAATTGTTTAATTTGGTAAAACCAGCTCAGAACCAGCAACTCCTTTTAACTGCGGTTTAAAATGGCTACTGGTGTGAACAATCAACCCACCATGACGATGCTAACACAGCGTCATCTCATAGTATTAAATGATTAACTGTAGGTTTGCTCACCTGTTTTCAGTCAACATAAGATGTCGCTTCTTCAGACTGGAGAAACTTGTGTTGTATTTTGTTTAGTCAGAAAAGGATTACTCGGATCTAACGACTCTCAGCTGGTGGCCTTCAGCTAACTTTACCAAAGTAAATTATGCAGCTGAACAAAGAATGGTACACTATATTTCATTTTGAAAACGCCAACAAATTATGCAAATACGATCAAAAACCGCATATACACGTGTACATAGCAAAAACCCGTGAAATAAACACACAAATGTTGGTGCTGCTAAGCTAACTGGTTAACAAGCTAGTCTCAAGGCGCTTTGTCATTGCAGCTAACGCTAACGCATTAACTCTACTTTTTAAACAGCAGTTAGTTACATTGGTTAACTATGGCACATATCCTTACTCTCTTTCTAACTTTACTAAATTCACGCAACCGCAGTCCAAAAAAAATATATATTATGGGCTTCGGCAGTTTAGGTCATGGAACCATTTTAAGAAAAACACGTCTCATCACTACGGTTATGTTTACATGCCACTGCGACTGCGCAGAAACCAGCAATGGTGCGTTCAGTGTGTGTTGGTTTACTGGGAAGTTTTATAGAAACGCAAATATTGTACTGCCTAATCAATATGTCTTCTGCACTGCAAATAGCAAAACGTATACACCAAATAATCGTATACAAAAATTGGTATTTTATTGTCATTTTCAACGGTGTTTGTAATCGAATCAAGTGATTTGGACAAAATATATTAATTTACAGATGAGTACTTAAAGGCAATAGACACCATCTATGTCAGACTGATGTCTCTTTTTTCAAAATACAGTACGTGTTTACTCACTTTAAATTCCTCGTAATATCGCTATTTAAATTCATGCTGCCTAAAATAAAAACAAACATTCGATTTTAGTGAATCGTTACCCGGAAGTGTCCACGGTCTGCGACTCTACGTATCCCATCCAGGCAGCCAATGGTTAAGAAAACGCCTCCGCCAATGACTCAAGCGTAGGACGGAGGTGAGATTATCTGGGATTCTCAGTAGCGGCGCGTCTGTGTATCTAAAGAAAATCAAGCGCAATGGGCAACAGCGATTCCAAACTGAATTTCAGGAAGGCAGTGATCCAACTCACGACTAAAACACAGGTACATATGAGCTTGTTTAGCACGGAATAAAGCAGAGACGCACTGAGGAGCATCACCCGAGGAGATGAGAAAACGCTGATCGCTTTAGTATAAATAAAAAATCCCCTCGTTTATTGAGCTCAGAATTATTTATTCTGCAGAATCAAGATATTTTAATCTCGATGTAGACTGTATGGCTACCTAATCGTGCCGTGTATCACTGTCGATTGCGGCAATATTCACCAAAAACGTGCTTATTTAAGTATTTCCCTGCAATTTAGCTGGATGATAATAAATGATGACATTTAGCGAAATAAATCACAGCTGATGACGTAAATCCGGGTATAAGCTGGCCTGCAGATGCGGCAGGTGGACTGCAAGATATTGCCCCCCCCCCCCAACAATCAGTTGTGTTTACATTGTCATTAGGCTTTGGATGCTTAGAAGACTCAGCCAATATGTCTATTCAAACAACAATTGCATTGTGATCTTAATAGGGACCATGCATTTAAAATCTGCTTATATCTGGAGAGTCATGTTGGAACTGAATGTGCTCATGTTTTCTACCAGCCCGTAGAAGCAACAGAGGATGCCTTCTGGGACCAGTTCTGGTCAGACACCACCATCACAGTCCAGGATGTTTTTGCACTGGTGCCAGCTGCAGAGATAAGAGCTGTCCGCGAGGAGTCCCCATCAAATTTAGCCACCCTCTGTTATAAGGTACACATAAAGATCTTGTTTCTGAAATATATTTACGCCGCTACAAAGGCACTTTTATACAAATCAGCAGGGTTTTTCAGCATTTTGAGGCAACGCAGGATTTTGTTTTCAGATCTCTGCCAAGGCTTTAAGATGTGGGAGAATACATGAGTCAACTCCCTTTCCTCTTTCTTTGCTTCCTGTCTCTTGTTCCCAGCTTCCGTTTGAAGCTGACTATCTGGCACACACAGGCATAATAATTAAATAAAGCGAGAGGAGACGAGAGCCCTCGAAGCAAAGCTCATTCACTCCCAATTTTAGACAAAGGCTGCGGCACACCGTTGTTAAAGTGCAGATGATTTGAGGGAACGGTTCATGAAAACACATTATATGTGTAACATATTATATACGCACAATGTTTGACCCTCCTTAAATATCGATCAACCATTTACGCACTGCTTTAACTGATTTGGAATATTATAGCCTAAAGTTTAATAATGCACATTCAAGGTTAAATCACAATTTAAAAAATGTTGCGACAATGACATTTTAAATAGAAACAGAATGTAAAGATATGCAAATCTTATATACATATATAATTTGAGCTTTGTGGCATCAACACTGAACTCAACATGTGCTTCAACATTGTTTGAAAAACATATTGTCTTGACGGGAACATATGTTATTTAAAAACCTGTTTGTTGTTTGTTAGCAGTGATGGTGCCTTTATATTTGTAACTTGCTTATATTACAAGTGCTAATGCACCCCCATACCATTAGAGAGGCAGGTGTTCGAACTGTGCACAGATAACAATGTGGATAGTCCATCTCCTTTAATCTGGAGGATGTGGCGTCCATGGTTTGGAAAAAGGAATTTTAAGTTTAGGTTTGTCTGACCGCAGAACGGTTTTCCGCAGTCCATTTTAAGCGAGCTTTGGGTCAGAAAAGACAACCATTTTGACGATTCTAATAAAGTTAAGTCAGGTCTTCTGGACGGGTTCTTTTTTTGTTGAAAAGTTTCATCTTTTATCCAGAAGACTTCTTCAGTCTGACAAAGAAAAATCCGTCCAGAGGACCTGACTAAGCATTGTTAGATTATCTATCTGGATTATTGAGCATGAATCAGGACAATTCTGGATGGTGTTCACGCATGGTCTTTGCATGATAGAGCTTTAACCAGCATTTGTGGATGGCACAGCAAACAGTGTTTACAAACAATGCTTTATGGACGTGTTACTGAGTCCATGCATTGATTTCCAGAACAGAACCTGTTTTACCGCAGTGCCACTTGAAGGTCAAAAGCTCATGGGCATCCAGTATTGACTTTCAGCTTTTTCCTTTGCTCACAGAGATTTCTCCAGATTCTGGAAATCTTTTATATTATGAACTGTAGATGATGAGATGTTGAAAGTATTTTCAATTGTATGTTTTGTAGGTTTTTAAGCTCAATCATCCAGGTAGATGACAACAAAAACATGTTAAATCATGTCATCTAGACCAGTTTCTTTTAGTGAGAAAGTAAAGAAACTAGTCCAGATGATTGCACCTTTTTTGATATTCTGAAATGGTTCCATTGTTTTTAGACTTCATCGTTACTTCTGAGAGATTCAGCCTCTCTAAAACGGTCTTTTCATTCAGCTCAGTCTTCTCTGTCGAACGTTGTCTGGCTCTACAGGCGGTGGAGAAGCTGGTTCAGGGAGCAGAGTCTGGCTGTCCAACTGAGAAAGAGAAGCAGGTCGTGCTGAACTGCGCTCGCATCCTGACCCGCATTCTGCCCTACATCTTTGAGGACCAAGACTGGAGAGGGTTCTTCTGGTCGACGGTGCCAGGCGCTGGGCACGCCGGGGTAAGTGTGCACGGGACAAGAACGTTTCTTTTGTCTCTCAGGATGTGAACAAAATCAAGATAATTTATTAAATGACTTTTAACAGTGAATGCGATTAAAAACTTTAGAAAATTCAAATTTGGATTAATTAGTCCAATAGAAACACCCCTGTTAACAATTTTCATCTTTTTGAGACCAATTTGATTTTCTTTATGGATATTTTGTGTTCACTGTTGTCATTTTGAATTTCTTTGCCTGTTGTGTCTTTTTTGAATCATCATGGATTTTGGGAGTTAACTGACATAATTAAATGGCCATGTAGTTTAACTCTGCTATGTTGTGCCTCTTGATTGTAAGTTTTTATTTCTTTTTTGTGCCATTGTACCTTTATTGGTCATTTTACGCACCTCTGTGGTTTCTTTTAATCACGTTTGTGCTTTTGCTACTGTCACTTTGCATCTTTTTTCTGTTTCTTGTTTCTGTGGTCAATTAATCTTCAGCAGATTGTTTTTTTGCATCTTTTTGTGATCTTTCTTTCTGGTTGTTTTGAGCCCGTTTGTGGCAGCTTTGTCTCCTTATTAATATTTTTGCAAGTTTTTTTTTTTTGTCCACGTGTGTTCATTTATTCAACCTTTATTTATACAGGTTAGTCTCGTTGAGCCATGAGGACTCATTTACAAGAGAGACCTGTTTTTTATTATTCATAAAATTATTATTTATTATTTATTATCTTTCTTGTGTTGCTTTTCTTCTCAAGTTTGTGCATCTTTGTTTCCATCATCCATCCATCCATCCATCCATCCATCCATCCATCCA